AATATTAATTCATGATAACTTCACAAAATCAAAAAATTAAATAATAGCCAAAACTAAAATTGTGGCACAGCTCATACTGTATTTTTTGGTGTTTCTTTAGGCCATCTGAAGAAGGAACATTAAATGGTGAGTCCATGTGGTAGATTTAATGTAAAAAAATGAGAATCATACATGATCTCTTATAGCAAATACCACATTATTCTAGGTAAGACATTTTATACTTCAAGCTAGAAAAAGCCAAGGCAGTGGAAATTTCTCTCATACAATTTTTCTTTAATATAGATATTCAGGCCAGGCATGGTGGTGGTCATGCCTGTAATCCTAGCACTCTGGGAGGCTGAGGTGGGAAGATTGCCTGAGCTCAGGAGTTGGAGATCAGCCTGATCAGGAGCAAGACCCTGTCTCTATAAAAAATAGAAAAATTAGCCGGGTGTGGTAGCACACGCCTGCAGTCCAGCTGCATGGGAGACTGAGGCGGGAAAATTGCTGGAGCCCAGGAATTTGAGGTTGCAAAGAGCTACAATAATGCCACTGCACTCTAGCTGAGGCAACAGAGCTAAACTCTCTCAAAGTAATAATAGTAAAAAAAAGTTTTAAAAAAAAGTTGTTCTTAAACATGTGAACCTCCCTGTTGGGGATGATCTCTTTACTGTTACCCCCTCCAGCTTAATCCCTGTCACCCAGCCTGTTCCTCTAACATTCCATGTTTTAATGAATAATACTTAGTCAGCTATATGACACCTGAGAGTGAGTTATCATTGACCACCTGAACTTTGCACTCACAAAGTCCTATTGCATTTATCTGTTAAATATCTGTAGAATCCACCCTCCCCTATACATCCCACTGCTGCTTTCAATTTAGACCTTTTTTTTTTTTTCCTTTGGAAACAAAGAAATTCTCACTTTGTTTCCCAGGCATGAGGGGGCGGTGGCGTGATGATAGCTCACTGCAACCTTAAACTCCTGGGCTTGAATGATTCTCCTGCCGCAGCCTCCTGAGCAGCTGGGACTATAGGCACATGCCATGATGCCTAGCTAAATTTTTATTTTTTGTGGAGATGGGGTCTTGCTATGTTGCTCAGGCTGGTTTTGAACTCCTGACCTTGGTAATCCTCCTGCCTCAGCCTCCTAAAGTGTTAGGAGTACAGGCGTGAGCCTGGCCAGACTATCATTTTTTGAAACCTTTCATTGAAGTGTATAGTAAGCATACAGAATAGTGCGGATAAGCCCACACTTCAGTGAATTCTCACAAAGTGAGCATACTCATGTAATCAGCACCCAAAAACTGAATTTGGCCAATATCCTAGCTCCTTTATGTGCTCTTATAACCTCTGCCCCTAACACAATGCTTAGTTTTGCCTGTTTCGTGTGTGTGTATGCTCATGTGTGCATGTATATATACATATGATCTATATAAATGAAATCATACAGTATATACTGTTTTGTATCTTCTTCCTCTTAATATCATTTTATGGATTCATCAATATCGCTGTGTATAGTGGTAGTTTGTGCATTCTGTATACTACATAGTATTTCCTTATTTGAATATATTGAATTTATTCATTCTATTTGGTGGTGATTTCAGTAGCTTTCACTGTATGGCTATTCTGATTTTTGTTGCTATGAGCATTCTTCTTCATGTTGTTTGATAAACATATGTATTTATTTTTGGTTGGTATATACCCAGGAATAGAATTGCTGGGTCATAGGGTATACCTGTGTTCACATTTGGTAGTTACTGCCAAATCAATTTTCAAGGTGGGGGCCAGGCACAGTGGCTCACACCTGTAATCCCTGCACTTTGGAAGGCCAAGGTGGGAGAACCGCTTAAGGCCAGGAGTTCCAGACCAGCCTGGGCAACAGAGTGAGACCCCATCTCTATTAAAAATCTGTAAAAAATTAGCTGGTCATGGTGGCATATGCCTGTAATCCCAGCTACTCGGGAAGCTGAGGCAGGAGGATTGCTTGAGCCCATGGGTTTAAGGTTACAGTGAGCTATTACCATGCTATTTGGGCTCCATGCTTGTAGTTTTACTGCTAGTCTATCTTATATTCTGCCAGTGAAATGATTTTTAAAATTCCAAAGAAAATTAAAAAAAAAAAAGGTCTTGTTTTGACACCCATTTGATACTGGAAGTGTGGTAATAGTTATTCTCTAATATGGACTACTTGAGAAGAAAAGCCAATTTGAGGGAAATTATGTATTCCACAGTGCTTCCCCCTTCTGTGAATCAGAAATTGATCTTAATATATAGAGAAGAAAATAAACCAGGTGCCACAAGGATAAGCAGCTGTTCAAATATTTTGAGTATCCTAACCCTGAAATGGCATTTGGAAGACCTACTTACAGTTAAACCCCTTCAAGGAATATTTTCTTTTATAACCAAAGCAATGGGATGTAAATACAGAATAGGTGTTTGAAGTTGATCTTAATTCTACTGTTTTAACAACACTGTCTTACAGAATGCTGACCTAAAGAAGTACCCAGAAAGGTGGAGTTGATCAGCAACTCTTTGAGTGATGAGAAAAGAGTGATTTATCAGCAGCAGGCAAAGGGATAATGCTAGGGTTCCAAAATACTTCTTGCAAGAAAATACTTCTATCATTAAGGTGAAAATCTACAGGAAACATCAGGGTCCAATAGAATGTAAGAGCTGGAAAGAGACTGCAGAGGTCCTCTACTCCTGAGGTCATGTCTGAATCTGGTCCTTTCAGTCCTGAGTAGGCTACATAGCTGTATAATGGGAGAGCAGCTAAGCCTCTAATCTGTTTTCCTTGATTCCCATTCTACTCTGCTTTTTGCTATACCTGTGTCTCTAATTTACACTGGAATCCTTGGAATTAAAAGAACCTCCACCCAGTGCCAGTATATGTTGTTATAAATAAAAATATATTGAACATTGGGAAAATTTTTTTTTCAATATTAGAAATTGAGTTTTGCAGAATGACATTGATTTACTGTTCTCTCAGTTCTTTGCCCATCAATTCTATTGAAGTAGTTTTAGAATCCTCCAAAGTCATTTCAAGGCATTGTTATAATACCGGAATGAATCTCCACAAATACAGAAGTCATGAAATATTTTACTCTATAGT